CCACCCACTGTCCCATTCCGGGGTCCCGTGGCCATAGGCGTGGGCTAAATGTGGCGCCTTCAGGACCCAAACGTTTCAGCTTCCGTGGGTCACAGGCCGCAGGGTGCAGTGAAGAGCCCAAGGATACCCAAGGGGGGTGGAGCTGACCCACCGCTGCCTCGCCCTCTTTCTCCGTTTCCTTCCACCCCATCTGGAAGTCAAAATCAGGGTTTGTGAGGGGGGGCGTGGCGTCGGCGGACGACTAATCTCCCCTTCCCTCTGCCAAAGCACTAAATAGAACTATCACACAGCCTACGAGTTATGCGGAAAGCTGGAAAAACGAAAAACGCAACAAAATGTACTATTAAAACTTTTATAAAAGCTTTTAACTCTGCCCATGTGCCAGGCTGGAAACTGGGCGAGTGGAGTGTGGGCGGCCGTCTACCAAAACACCCTCTTGCGCAATCTCCCGATATCGGGTAGCCTAACAGATGAGGGTGGTGTTTCCGCTTTCCGATGCTGCTGGCAACTTGGGGGCCCTCCCCCCCTGCGCTGGATCCCCCACTTCTTCCAGCCTGATTTCTACAGACCAGGAAAGGCCTTTCTTTGCTTCCCATCTGTAAGGCCACTTGAGATAGTGAGCTAGGGGAAGTATATGTAGATGCGTTAGGGCATTTGATTTCTTTTCTTTTCACCCACTTACTGTTATTATTCTGCACCTTGTTGGTTGACCTCCTATAAAATAAACCTTTTCCTTGTTTTACTCTGCCTGGTCCTCACGCTTGTTATTCGGCCAAAAGGGAAGTCTGAAGGTCTTGGGAGGGTGCTCTGGGCCTTCTCAAGGGAACCTAAATCCAGAGGGGTGGCCATCCTTTTGGCCATCTTCCATCTTTCCAGTCTCTGCTCCATGGATAAGAAAAGTCTATTTCCCCAACACCCTTAATCCTGCTTCTCTCTTTATTTCCATAGACCTTGGATGTGTGCATGTTCCATGTGTGCTTCTTGTGTGTTATATCCCCTAAATATCCTTTAATAAAACCTTCTCTATTTTACCCTTGGGCTGGTTATTAAGAGAACATGAGAACATAAGAGAAGCCAGTGTTGGATCAGGCCAATGGCCCATCCAGTCCAACACTCTGTCATACAGTGGCCAAAAATACCAGGTGCCCTCAGGAGGTCCACCAGCGGGGCCAGGACACTAGAAGCCCTCCCACTCTGTGAAGAAAGCTAATGCAATCTTAGGATGCATTAACAGAAGCGTTGTGTCCAGATCAAGGGAGGTGGTCGTTCCGCTCTATTCTGCTATGGTCCGGCCTCACCTGGAGTCCTGTGTCCAGTTTTGGGCACCACATTTTAGGAAGGATGTTGACAAGCTCGAGCGTGTCCAGAAGAGGGCAACCAGGATGGTGAGAGGGTTGGAATCCAAGTCTTAAGAGGAAAGGCTGAAAGAGTTGGGTATGTTTAGCCTGGGAAAGAGAAGGCTTAGAGGGGACGTGATTGCAGTCTTCAAGTATTTGAAGGGCTGTCATGTAGAAGATGGAGCGGATCTATTCTCTCTGGCTCCGGATTGCAAGACTAGGTGGAAGGGTGGAAATTACAAGGGAGTCGTTACCGGCTAAATATCAGGAGAAACTTCCTGACTGTGAGAGTGGTTGAGCAGTGGAACAGTCTGCCTCGGGAGGTGGTGGATGCTCCTTCACTGGACGTTTTCAAGCGGAGGCTGAACGACCATCTTTAGGGTATGTTGTAGGTATGTAGGGCTGTCTTTCGGTTATGCTCCTGCAGAGTGCAGGGGGTTGGACTAGATGACCCGCAAGGTCCCTTCCAACTCTAACAGTCTATGATTCTTGCCCCCTACCAAGCACCAAGATCACAGAGCATCGCTTGCCCCAGGCCAAGAGTTCCTATCGATACCTTGTGGCTAATAGCCACTGATGGACCTCTGCTCCAGATATTCACCCAATTCCCTCTTGAAGCCGCCCACGCTTGTAGCTGCCGCCACCTCCTGTGGCAGTGAATTTGAGCTCTCATAAAGGGGGAAATCCCCAAAGATATAGGTAGCATGATCTCCTCTTGCTGAGGCTACCATGTGACGAATCCCCCCCCCCCAGAAACTAAAGTCAGCGATTTCAGCTTTTCAAATCAAAGCGGGTAGGGGTACCAAACGGTGCTATATTATGTGCCGTTGCCTTAAAAATGACACGGCAGGCGGGGATTCAACCGGTGAAGGGTGTTGCTGCCCCAGGTGAATTCCCTCCCCATTTTTGTGTGACTTCCTCTCCTCCGGCTTGTTGGATCCCGATCTCATTGTGACTAGGAGGCCCAGTGCTATGTCGGTAGCTCCCTTCCCCCTTACGCACTAGCTTTCTACCTGAAGGGGTTTTGATTTTTTTTTTAAATGAAGGAGCGTTCCACCAGGAGAGCCCCCGCCTGTCCTCTGAAATGGCACACTCGAAGAGGTGGCTCGACCACCTTAACAATAGGGTTGCCAGCCTCCAGGTGGGGCCTGGGGATCTCCCGCTTTTACAACTGATCTCCAGCTGACAGAGATCCGCTCCCCTGGAGAAAATGGCTGCTCTGGAGGGTGGACTTTCTATGGCACTGGACCGTGCTGAGGCCCCTCCCCTCCTCAAACCCCAGCCTCTCCTGGCTCCGCCCCCAAAGTCTCCAGGTATTTTCCAACCCAGACCTGGCAACCCTACTTAACAAAGAAGCAGCCCATAATAGATGAGAGGGACTTAGCATTGCTGCAGACAGAAGCAGCAGGAGAAACTGCCATTTGATTGGGGGGGGCACCGTGGTGCAGTGGTTAAAGAGTGCTGGACTACTATCTGGGAGATTTGGGTTCGAATCCTCACTCGTGCCACGGAAACTTCCTGGGGGACCTTGGGCCAGTCTTAACCCAACCTACCTCGCAGGGCTGTTGTGAGGACAAAATGGAGAAGAGGAGAATGAGGTCAGCCGCTTTGGGTCCCCACCGGGGGGGGGGCATCAACGAAGAAAGCAAAAGAAAGGCTAAATAGAAAACAGAGAAGAAATTCTTTGATGGGAACATGGAGAGGGGAGTGTGGACTCTGATTTGGGAGAGCCGGGTTCGATTCCCCACTCCTCCACATGCAGCTGCTGGTGTGACCTTGGGTCAGTCACAAGTCCTCTCTCAGAGCTCTCTCAGCCCCACCCGCCTCACAGGGTGTCTGTTGTGGGGAGGGGAAAGGAAAGGAAATTGTAAGCCGCTCTGAGACTCCGAGTGAAGGGCAGGGTATAAATCCAATCTCTTCTTCTCTTCTTAATCCTGCCCTTCCACTGTGCCTGCTGTCCACACTCCCACCGAGTCCACTCTGCATAGGGGGAAGTGGTGGACCCTCATTGTAAAGGATAGGCAGTCTCTACATGCTCAGAGGCACTCTTTTTATTATTGCTTTACAAGATCCAGGCTGTGGTCTTGCTACTGAATATCAATCCGGAGAACTGAGCTGCATCTTCCACAGAATAATGTGATCGTCCTCTTTCCCCCCCCCCCCAATGCTGGGACCCTACCACCTCCTCACAGTGTGTGTGTGTGGGGGGGAATCCCCTCCCCTGTCCAACATCAGCTTGTCATGAAAGAGATTTGGGATTCTGTTGTCAAAGGCCTTCACGGCCGGAGCTCATTTGTTGTTGTAGATTTTCCACAGCCATACAGCCCAGAAACTCTACAACAACTAATTTGGGGTTCTTGTTTACATCGGGGCACTTTGAATATCACGACCAGGGGTCATTTCCTGCAGGAGCGCACAGGAGCCAAGCTCCGGTGGTAAGAAGCCCAGGGGGTGGGCACATGCAACAAGCCCCACCCCCTGCTCCCAGCAGCCCTCAGTCAGGCCAGAAGGAACAAGAAGCAGCCAGGTAAGTTACAGAGCCACCCCAGGTTTTATTCAGGTACAAGCTCTCCCTCCTCTGTGAGGGCAGATCTGCGTGTGTCCCCCCCCCCATAGCTAGCAATCCAAAACAGTCCAGTGGAGCCTGAGCGGTGGGTGTTGCCTTCTGACACACTTCCGGTGATGTCAGGGGGCGTGGCATATGCTAATGAGTTATGCTAATGAGCTCCTGCACCTCTTTCTCTACGAAATGACCCCTGATTACGACATAGATTAATGCACCACGGAGAATAAGAGTGGAGAGAGAGAAGAGTGCTTCTCCCGAAGAAATATTATTTATTGAGCTACTATTATGAACACCTACCCTCCCATTTTAAAGCACAGGTTCGTTTAAAAACAACTGCATCCACCCCACCCCACCCCCCAGCCTCAGGGTCCTTTCCAACGCTCCCTCTAAGCTGTGGAGTATTGTGAGTGAAAATGCTACTTTGTGAGCTACTGGCGTTAAAGCTGCGAGGGATAAATGAGCTTGCTCTGGAGCCCTCCTCCCTGGGCAAAGGCAAAAATGTATCCGCCAGAGGCTAAAAACTGTGGGCTGGCTCACACTCACTCAGCTTAGAGGGAACACTGGTCCTTCCCCCAGAGATTCCGTTCCCATCGGCCAGGAGAGCCTAGCCAGAGCCAACCACTTCTCTGTGGGGAAAGGGAAGAGGGGCTCAGGGTTGGCCCCTCCCCCGGGCCAGGAGATCTGAAACGGAAAGGGGCGGCCCCAGAGGCGTCACCCCTCCCACCCCGAGGTGGCAAATGGGCCCTGAAACCCCCCCCCCCCCCAAGACAAGTCTGGAACCAAACCAGACTCCCCGTCCCCACCAGGCTGTATTTCTGTATCCATTCGAAGCGTGGAGAAGAAGAAGAAGAGGAGGAGGAGGAGGAGATTGGATTTATACCCCATGCCCCTTCACTACCCAAGGGTGTCTCAGAGCAGCTTACAATCTCCTTTCCCTTCCCCCTCCCCACAACAGACACCCTGTGAGGTAGGCGGGGCTGAGAGAGCTCTTGACAGAAACTGCTCTTTTTTCAAGAACAGCTCTTGTCAGAACTACGGCTTCCCTAACATCATCCAGCCAGGTCTGAGTGGAGGAGCGGGGAATCAAACCCGGTTCTCCCAGATTAGAGTCCGCGCACTTAACAACGACACCAAACTGGCTCTCTGGTTTGGAGGACTGGGGGCGGAACCAAGAGGAGAGCTGCCCGCTTTGGCAGGGGCACTGCTGTGCCAGGCACTGAGAGAGCCACCGACAGGCTTCGAGCTGGGGGGGGGGAGAAGAGGAGGCTGGGGGGAGAGGGGGCGTTTCTCTTCTCTGTGCTGAGAAGCCTGAGGCCACACACAAACACCCCTCCGAGCATGGCCACGGCCCCTCCAGTAAGGGCGCTGTGAGGGGGAACCGCTGGCTGCGGATGAAGCAGTCGTGCCCCAAAGGGGCAAAGCCTGGCTGGCGTGGCGTTCCTGTTATAGCCCGGGTCCAGAGTTCCAGAGGGCATCGGACGGGAAGGGCACCGCCGGGTGGAGCTCCGTGGAGCCAAGGGGCAGGAGAAACAGGTGCCGCCGTCTCGCTGGTCTTCAGCCGGACGACCTGGCCGTTCACTCTGAGGAAGGAAGAACCGTTTCAGAAAGCGGACCTTGGAGGGTGGGAACGCCTTGGCCTGCCCCCCTCCATTCGCCTCCAGGGGAACTGATCTCTGCCCGCCTAGAAATGAATAGTGATGCCCACCTGGAGGCTGAAGTAACCCGAGCTGCAGCGTTAGGAGAGTCTAGTAACAAATAAATATACACTGCAAAAACCTTTTAACAAACGAATGTGTTCTATTTATGGTAATCAATTCAGTGTTCCCTCTAAGCTGAGTGAATGTGAGCCTCCAGTTCGCAGAGTTTTGTCTCAGCTCAGGAAGGAGGGCTCCAGAACTAATTTCTGCAGTCGCCAAATAGCTCGCTCACAACTTTAATGCCAGTCGCTCAGAACATAGAATTTTTGCTCACAAGATTCCACAGCTTAGAGGGAACATTGGTTAGTAAAGCTTTGAGAATGACAGGAGTACTCCGTCCATGAATGTTAGCTGCACAATGTGTCTTTTGTAGGACCGGCAAAAAGCATCCACACAACTATTAAGAAGGCTGTCCCCCTTTCTGGAAGACTTCATGCAAGGAGGAGCGGGTTTATAATTCTAGAAACTCCCGTTGGGGCTTGACTCTTAAAACACTGATGCAAAATTGTCTGGTAGTTAGCAATCTGTATGTACTGAATGTTATTGCTTATTGAATGCAATGAATATTTATACCTTACTAGGATGAAATAATGATACACTATGCCAGGCCTGTCCAACTTCGAACAGGTAGTGAACTATTTTTTCCGGCCAAAAGTGCTGGTGATCTACCACCATGAAAATAAAGTTTCAAATTAGTTTCAAATTAGATTTTAACCCACTAAAGTTGGGTTCCACCGCACCCCCCCCATTTATAATGCACCTTCTGTCATTTAAAAAGGTAAAGGTTCCCTTGCTCGAAAGCCAGTCAAATCGACTCTAGGGTTGCGGTGCTCATCTCCGTTTCAAAGCCGAAGAGCCAGCGCTGTCCAAAGACATTTCCGTGGTCATGTGGCTGGCATGACTAAACACCAAGGTGCACGGAACGCTGTTACCTTCCCACCGAAGTGGTACCTATTTATCTACTTGCAATTTCTTGCTTTCAAACTGCTAGGTTGGCAGGAGCTGGAACTAGAGACGGGAGCTCACTCCGTCATGCGGCACCCGGGTCTCGAACTGCTGAACTACTGACCTTTCACAGCTTGCAGTTCAGCGTCTTAACCACTTGAGCCACCGCAGCTCCTTTTCTGTCATTTACTGGTAAGCAAAATAAGCAAAAACAAAACAAAGAGACGAAGATCCAGAAAGAACTGCGAACATTTTTTATTTTTTATTGAGTTACAACTTTCTTTAACTGTCTCAATAACTTTCTTTAACTTTTATTCAGAGTTATTTGTGTTAAATGTAGGTCAAGTATTGATCCAGGCTGATCCTGCGCAATCTTTAAAACTTCGCTCTTGCTCGTTAGTAAGACCAAGTGGGGCTGGTGATCTACCTGTTGTGATCTACCAGTAGATTGCGACCTACCTGTTGGACATACCTGCTATGCACTTTACTAAATGATGAACATAAATAGAACACATTAGTTTGCTAAAACGTTTTTGCAGGGTATATTTATTTGTTACTAGGCCCACCTGGAGGCTGGCAATGGTAACCCCCCCCCCCCAAACAGAAAAACAGCAAAAGAATTTTCTGAGTCAGCAGCAGGTTGATCAGGCAGGTGGGCATCCCTCCATAAGACTGCACAGGCCTGCTTTGCTGCCCAGAAGGCAATTCTGGGTGTGTGTGGGGGAACAGAACCCGCTGGTGGGCAGCAGGTGACCCTTCTGTCTGGGCTAGCCTTTGAAGGCCGTGGGAAGTTAAGGAGTTAATTTGAATATGTTGTCGAGGGCTTTTACGGCCAGAGTTCATTAGCTGTTGTAGATTTTCCGGGCAGTGTGGCCACGGTCTTGGCACTGAAATACCTGACGTTTTGCCAGCAGCGGTGACTGGCATCCTCAGAGGTATAACATAGAAAGATGGAGTACCCTCCGTGTCAAGGTGAGAAGAGAAAGGGTAGACAGGTGATTTATATCTACTCAGGAAGGTGGGGTAGGGCTGAGTCATTATCTTGTAGGAGTCCCCCAGGCTGCAACATGCGAATGGAGGAGCTTTCCTGAGGAGGTTCTTTTGCATATGGATTGGCTGTTGAAATTCTGCTCTTATCTGTAGTGCTGTTGTTAAGATGCACAGCATTTTATGTTTTGCAGGACAGGAAACCATGCCCTGTTTATTTTTAAACTCTCTTCTTTCCTGTTGGAATTGTGTTTACATTTATGAATTTCAATGGCTTCCCTGTGTAATCTGACATGGCAATTGGATGTGTTGTCCAGCCTTTCAGTGTCTTGGAACAAAATACTGTGCCCTGTTTGAGTAAGGCTATGTTCATTTTTGTTTGAGTTAGGCTATGTTAATTTGAATGTTAGTATTTAAGGGCACGCTGTCGCCCTTCAGGCTCTGGACAAAAGAAAGGAAGGGAAGAAAGGAAACAAATTCCTTCCCCAAGGGACCCAGGCATGATTCCTGACCTACCAGCATTCCTGGGCATGCGGGACTTGACAATTAGGAGGATTCCCAAGATCACCAGCAAAATCCCCACCGCTTCCCTGTGTAATCTGACATGGCAACTGGATGTGTTGTCCAGCCTTTCAGTGTCTTCGAACAAAATACTGTGTCCTGTTTGAGTTAGGCTATGTTCATTTTTGTTTGAGTTAGGCTATGCTAATTTGAATGTTAGTATTTAAGGGCACGCTGTCGCCCTTCAGGCTCTGGAGAAAAGAAAGGTAGGGAAGAAAGGAAACAAATTCCTTCCCCAAGGGACCCAGGCATGATTCCTGACCTACCTGCATTCCTGGGCATGCGGGACTTGACAATTAGGAGGATTCCCAAGATAACCAGCAAAATCCCCACTGCGATGGCCACACCGCAAACAAGGGTCTCCAGGAAGTCCGAGGGAACGGGATCTCTGGGGACTGGCGGGAGAAGACACAACGGGTGCTTCAGGTTAGTTTGCGGATTGGGCCCAAAGGACGCTCAGGAGGGAGGCGGGAGAAAGGGGCTCACCCCAGTAGGCCAGGCCGTTGTAGAAGTCTCCTGGGGTCTGGATGCTGCAGCTGTACACGTCTCCCTCCCACGGGGTCACCTCCAAGTAGGAGAAGAGCTCAAAGTCCAGCCCTCCTACGGGGTAGACCTGAGTGGTGGACACCCCCTGGGTCACCGGCTCCCCGTTCCACGCCCAGGCGATGGTGGCGGATGGCGGGAAGAGGTTGCTCACGGAGCAGATCAGGGTGTTGGGCTTCCCCAGCTCGAGAGGGTAGCGAGTGAAGACCTCGACCTGCGGGATACCTGCGGGAAGAGGCGCCAGGTGAGCTGTTGAAGCCCTTGGGCTTCCGGGAATATCATGCAATGCAAGTCTCTTGACCAGGCAAAGGGCCACGAGAGGGTCAAACATACAAAAGAGGTAGCCCCGCCGCCCCGGAAGCTGAGCAGGAGGAGCCGCGGTCCAGTTCTCTGCTCATGGTCCAAACCTGGCCTCCCGACAGTCGAAAACAAAGGATGCAGTAGAAGAATCGCTCCTTGTGGACCCAGCAAGTTCCGAATGGTGATCCTCTTCCGGAAACGACCGCTATTTATGCAGTCTAGCGCTGCCACACTGATCACTACATTAATCCACCGAACCCTCCTGAAACCAGTTCCTTGTGGCGGAATCTCCGTGAGGAGTCCTATTTGGTGTAGTGATTTGGTGTGGTTTGGTGTCATGGTTAAGTGCGCGGACTCTAATCTGGGAGAACTGGGTTTGATTCCCCACTCTTCCACTTGCAGCTGCTGGATGACCTTGGGCAAGCCCTAGTTCTCTCAGGGCTGTTCTCTCAAGGACAGTTCTGGAAAGAGCTCTCTCAGCCCCACCTACCTCACAGGGTGCCTGTTGTGGGAAGGGGAAGGGAAAGGAGTTTGTAAGCCGCTCTGAGACTCCGAGTGAAGGGCGGGGTATAGAACCAATCTCCTCCTCTTTCTCCTCCTCGTCCTCCATTTAAAATATTTCCATTCTGACTTTCCACCCCCAAACGCAGCCCCCCAAGACTAGTCTTGTTGTGCATTGTGGGTGACGGGGATCAGGGCCCTGCAAGATAGCACGGTGTGAAAGAATGAGGGAGGGGTTATTAGGTCTCCCCACTTCCACCGTAGAGACAGGCCTTTTCGGTGCTGGCCTCTTTACGGCAGATGCCCCTCCCTCCCTTTAGCTCTCTGCCTATTGCTGGAGTTTCTCCCTCTGAGCCACCCGGCTAAGACGAGGCATCCTTTCCCCCCCCACCCCACTCTTTCATTTGTATTAGTTTTAAGACCACGGCCGTAACGATTTACCTGTTTCCACTGCTGCTGGGGCTTGAAGCACTGATGCCGTTGAAACAATAATATCCATGAAGGCAGGGGCCATTTCCTGCGGGAGCGCACAGGAGCGGAGCTCCGGCAGTAAAGAGCCCAGGGGGCAAGCACATGCAACAAGCCCCGCCCCCTGCTCCCAGCAGCCCTCAGTCAGAGCAAGAAGCAGCCAGGTAAGTTGCAGAGCTCCCCCAGGCCCCCCGGTCCAAAACAGTTTAGTGGCACCTTTAAGACCAAGTTTTATTCAGGTACCAGCTCTCCCTCCTCTGCGAGGACAGATCTCCACGTTCCTCCCCCCCCCCAATAGCTAGCCATCCAAAACAGTCCAGTGGAGCCTGAGCGGTGGGTGTTGCCTTCTGACACACTTCCGGTGATGTCAGGGGTGTGTGGCATATGCTAATGAGTTATGCTAATGAGCCCCTGCACTTCTTTTTCTATGAAATGACCCCTGCATTTAAGAGAAAGGCTTAGTGGAACTCCCTCTCTTCACGTGAACGGGTGTGTCTTCTGGGATGCAGCAGCAAAAAAGGCCAATGCGATCTTGGGGTGTATCAACAGAGGCATAACATCCAAATGGCAAGGTGTCATAGTCCCCGCTGTACACTGCATTGCTCAGGCCGCACCTCTTGTGGGCAGTCCTGGAGGCCTCACTTCAAAAAGGATGTGGGCGGAATGGAGCTGGTGCAGAGGAAAGCGACGAGGATGATCGGGGGCCTGGAGACCAAGAAGCCCTGCGAAGAAAGGCTGAGGGACTTCTTGGGAACGTTCAGTCTGGAGGAGAGGAGGCGGAGGGGGACAGGATGGCTCTCTGGAAGCATCTGAACGGCTGTCACTTGGAGGAGGAGGGTGGGGGAGCTGTTCCTGTGGGCAGAAGAGGAGAGGACTCGCAACCAGGGGTCATTTCCTGCAGGAGGGCACAGGAGCGGAGCTCTGGCAGTAAGGAGACCAGGGGACGGGCACATGCAACAAGCCCCGGCCCCTGCTCCCAGCAGCCCTCAGTCGGGCTACGAGGAGCAAGAAGCAGCCAGGTAAGTTGCAGAGCCCCCCCCCAGCAATCCAAAACAGTCCAGTGGCACCTTTAAGGCCAAGGTTTATTCAGGTACAAGCTCTCCCTCCTCTGTGTGGGCAGATCTGCACGTTCCCCACCCCCCATAGCTAGCAATCCAAAACAGTCCAGTAGAGCCTGAGCGGTGGGTGTTGCCTTCTGACACACTTCCGGTGATTTCAGGGGGTGTGGCATATGCAAATAAGTTATGCTAATGAGTTATGCTAATGAGCTCCTGCACCTCTTTTTCTACGAAATGACCCCTGCTCGCAACCATGGGCTTAAATGAAGGGCGGGGAGGTTCTGGCTGGGTATTAGGAAAAGCTTTTCTACAGGCAGAGTTGTGCCACAGTGGAATGGGCTGCCCCGGGAGGTGGTGAGCTCCCCCTCACTGGCAGTCCTTAAGCAGCGGCTGGACAAACACATGTCAGGGAAGCTCTAGGCCAGTGGTGGCGAACCTACGGCACGGGTGCCAGAGGTGGCACTCAGAGCCCTCTCTGTGGGCACGCATGGCATCGCCCCAGCCAGGCCCAGACGGTCATTAAAGTGTCGAATTCTCTGCCAAATAATTTTAAGTAAATGAAAGCATTTGGGATTGCTTCCCTTACTTTGTTTGGATCATCTTAAGTTAACGTATGAGTTGTTTTTTCTAAAGTAAAACCTCAGTATTCAGGTTAAATTGCCGTGTTGGCACTCTGCAATCAATAAGTGGGTTTTGGGTCGCAGTTTGGGCACTCGGTCTCTAAAAGGTTCGCCATCACTGCTCTAGGCTGATCCTGCACTGAGCCGGGGGTTGGACTAGATGGCCTCTAGGTACCCTCCCAACTCTGTGTGATTCTAGGATTCTATGAATATGCTTGCTAGAACCGGGTTACCGGTGGTCAGGACAGCGGCCGTTGTTAAGTCTAAGTTGCTCTCTGCCTGGCTGTTCTGCACACTCAAGACGGTTCTTGGAGCTACCCCGCCTGCTCCATCTCTCCGGCCTCAGGGCAGGAGACAGCCACTGACCCGGCTCCACAGCGAGGGCACTTTACGGAGGAGCTAGACACCGTAGAACGGGCATTCAGGTGGGTCACCGTGTTGGTTTGAAGCAAGAGAACAAAGTTTGAGTCCAGTGCAGGGGTCATTTCGTAGAAGAAGAGATGCAGGAGCTCATTAGCATAACTCATTAGCATAACTCATTTGCATATCCCACACCCCCTGACACCACCGGAAGTGTGTCAGAAGGCAACACCCACCGCTCAGGCTCCACTGGTCTGTTTTGGATTGCTAGCTA